CATTTGAGTATTGACAGGGTTGGAGGCTTCTGGCCTCCCCTGCCTTCCCCTGACCGCACGTCGCTCGTTACATGTAAGCCCTGTAAATACTAATGTCCTTTGGGGTTATCTGTGTATGTCAATGTTGCTAACGCTACTTTGCTCCATGTTGGGGACAGGTCTCATCGGGCGTCCAGATGGGACCATCTGGGTTAAAATAAAGTTTTTGGAAAAAAAGAAAAGAAAGGGAAAAAAAGGGAAAAAAAAAGATTTGTCAGTCTCACGACGGGTATTTGAGAAATTATTTACCCGGATATATCGTTACAATCCCTTACATATGGGACACTGGAAAAAAAGACAAGAGCCACTTGCACCCTTTCTGCCATTATATACAAAATAAGTGTTGCTACAAAATCAGCAGGCACCCTGGAAAAATGAGCATCAATGATCTGCATATGGGATTCACCTGGCATAAATAAAAGGTTTTTGAATGAAATAAATTTATGGTAACTTAATAAGGATCAACCAAGATTCTTGAAGCTACACAAGGAATCTTGGCTGCCAAAGTGCAACAAAAAAGGACTAAAATTAATAGAATCAAACCCTTTTTTTGGTTGCGGTTTTTAGTAGGAGTATAAAAAGAAAATGCCTTTAAAATAGGATTGCAAGCTAGTACACTTAGTTTTCTTAACTGAATGATAATAGACGTTATTAAGTCAAATTTTAAACCAGAACAGATCTAGGATGTTTGGCATTCTTATACCATTTTGTACAATAATTGATAATGAATAAGTTTCAAAACAGAAACTCAACTTTTACCAGCTGATTCAATACGGTATCTAACTTGAGTTTCTTTTATTTTATTATTGAAAAACCTGGTTGAAGATGCTACTTTATTTTTTACTGTCCCCAAAGCGGCGCCGCTCAAAAACCCTTCTTCGGTAAAGCCACAACTCGCATTGCAGATGGACTTTCTTGAATTGGGAATAAGATACAAAAATCAATCATTCCTCCCACTTTCGGGGGAGTGAAAATTATATATTTTGGGGCTTTTTTGCTTCTGCCATAATTGCGGTCTTGTGTGTGTGCGTTGACTGTCAGTTTCCTATTGACACGGACAACTCAGCGAACTAGTGGCCCACTGGCCCACCAGCCACCAGTAAAATTACTCACACCATTGCTTACACACCGTCCACATGGACTCACAACAAAGTAGCTAATTAACTAGGCTGGGACCAAATTTGGGGCAACTTCTATCCGCCAGTCAGAAGATGTTGGCAGAGGAAGTCAACAGCCAGCCAACTCTTTTGCCTGCGTGGCCTCTTTCATACCGTTACTGATTTTAAACCGTTATCACTCTGGCCTTGTATTCATTTTTGCTTTACTTGGTTTATAAACAAAAGGAACTGTTGGGCCCTTGTTACCCATAAAACTCTTCCGTGCTGATTTAAAAAAAAGATTGAACTTTTTTCACTGCAAATTAGGACAACATTTGATGTTTTTTAAAAGCCTACACCACTTTTTTTATAACGCATGTATGTTATTGTATATAATGTTCTCACCTGGTCCAATAAAACGAGGGTAGGGGAGTCATGCCAGACTGAATACACCTTTTTTAAAAAAGGAACCAGAACCCCCCCAAATAATCAAACCACTACAAAGATTAAAAAGACTCACACAGGAAATCTAGATTTCAAAGATAAACCTGTTAAGCCCGAGGGCCTGTTTTTCAGCTTCAGGCTTAACAGGTTAATGCTTTGAAATCTAGATTTCCTGCTGTGAGCTCCTTTTTTAATCTTTAGTGTTTAGTTATTGGGTTCTGGTTCCTTTTTTAAAAGGTTGTATCAGTCTGGCATGAAACTTCTTACTCGTTTTGATTGACAGGTTGAAACATATTACAATAACATACATGTTGAATAAAAAAGTGTGTTAAGTGCTTTAAAAAAACACATCAAAATGTTGTTCTATTTCAGTGAAAAAGTTCAATCTTTTTTTTTAAATCAGCACGGAAAAGAGTTTTATGGGTAAAAGGCCAAACAGTTCCTTTTGTTTATAAACAAGTAAAGGCAAAAATGGGAATACAGGGGCCAGAGTGGATTAACGGATTAAAATCAGAACGGTATGAAAGACCACCAGGCAAGAGTCTGCCCTGCGTGTGACTTCGCTGCTGCCAAATCGCTTGACCTGGCAGGCATGAGAAGTTGCCATGTCCAGCCCTGTGCCTACTTTGTTGTGAGTCCATGTGACCGGTTTGGTAAAGCATGGTGTGGCCTATTTTAACTGGGTGGGCTGCGGGGTGGGGCATGAGGCCACTATTTTTTTTTTTTTTTTTTTTTTTTTGTTCGCTGACGTTGTCCGGTCAAATAGGGGACTGACGAGGTCCGCACACACACAAGACCGCAATTATGGCAGCAAGGGCAAAAAAGCCCAAAATATATAATTTTCACTCCGGGAGTGGGGAGGATGATTATTTTTGTTATCTATTTCCAATTCAAAGCTCCATCTGCAATGGCGGAGTGGTGGCTTTACCGAAGCAAGCGGTGAATTTCAGAGCCGGCCCGCTTTTTGGGGCGACAGCTAAAAATAACAGTAGCATTTTCAAACAGGTTTGTTCATATATAAAAACTCAAGGGTTTAGGATACCCGTTAATTTGAATCAGGCTGTAAGGGTTTGAGGTTTGTTTTGCACTTGTATTCATTCATTAATTATTGTACAAAATGGTATTAAGGAATGCAAACATTTAAGATCTGTTCTGGGGTTTAAATTGTATTATAGTCTATTATCAATTCAGGTTAAGAAACTAGTGTGCTTGGGCATTCCTATTTTTAAAGGGCATTTCTTTTTATACTCTACTAAAACGCAACAAAAAAAAGGGGGTTTGATTCTATTAATTTTTGGTCTTTTTTTGGTTGCACTTTGCAGCAGATTCCTGTGTAGCTTTCAGATCTGCAGTTGTCTTATAGTAAACCAATTTTATTTCATTTTCAAACCTTTTATTTTATGCAGGTGGAATCCCATTGAGATAATTGACTCTTTTTCAAAGGGGTGGGACCTGCTGATTTTGTAGCCAACACTTATTTGGTATATAATGGCAAAGAAAGGGTTCAGTGTCTTGTCTTTTTTCCAGCTGTCATAGTAGGGATGCTAACGATATATCGCGGTAAATAAATTTCTCATACCGTCGGTGAGACCTGGACAAAATCTTTTTTTTTTTCCTTTTTTCTTCCTTTTC